GGTCCCGGCTGCGGCATCCAGCCCCGAGTAGCTTCCCGCTGCGTAACCCTGAACAGAGAACCGCTGCTCTGCTGTATCAGGTGCAAAAGACTATTCTCATTTTTCCCCTCTGGCAGGAAATTCCTGACACGGAAGGACAAGGAAAGTATCTTCACCATGGACCACTTCCCTCTGTGGTATCGTCGGGCAGCCGAACATCCCCCTGGGAGCTTCATCTACAGCATCGTTTCAGAAGACGATTCAGGTAACCTCAGCCTGAGCATGAGAGCAGGGACGTAGGGAAGACAAAGCTTTTCACATGCTGTGGCCCATGCCACACTTGCCCCGGTCCTTTTACTGCCACCTCTTGCGCAGTGACAAGTGCTGAGATCTGGCCGCTGGCAGTTTGTTGGCACAGGCATAGAGGCACGAGGCTCTGGGCAGGGTATGGGAACTGGAGATGAAGGACAGACAGAGCTACAAGCCTGGAGAAGGCATTCACAGCTGAGTAGCACGCAGGTGCAGAGGAGGTGAAGGACACAGGGAGGTAGAGGGCTTGGATAAACTGAGGGATTTAGAGAGGTGGTGGCGGGAGCACGAGAGGCTGCAGGACACGTGAACCATAAGAGGAGGAAGTTAAAGGTATTGCAGAAGGAATTAGGCAGATGTGGCCAGACCTGGGAGGCATATGTGTGTCAGGCCCATTGGCCACAGTGATTAGCGTAACGGTCAGCTGGGACTGATGAAGGACCAGTGAGCACTCCGTCAGGAAGATGCGAGTTTAGAGGGAGTCATTTCTTCTGTCACCACTTTTCATGACTAGAATATGGTACCTCTTACCCAGCAAAGGAGCTCAAAGGTGACAGACCAGCAAGGAGTGGCTTTTCAGTGTCTCTTGCTTAGGGTGTTGGTTGCTGTGAGCTCTCAAAGCCAGCCAGGACTTCCTCAAAGGCTGGAAGAGAACAGAAGAGCCTAGAAGGATAAGATCAAAATAAAATACTAGTGTGAGACTCCTACACAGGCGGCAGAAACCCCCTCTGAGCTCTTCCCTGGCCCCCAGCACTCCATCTCTGTCACAGAGCTCAGCACTTTAGCTGTTAGAGCTTTTTGTGGCACACTGGTAGGAGGCTGGTGGGTGGGAAAGCAAGTAGCAAAGAGGAGAAAATGAGACTGGGAGGCAAGAGATGAACCAGGAGGTAAAGAGAGAGGAGTGGAAACAGAAAATACGTGAAACCTTTCACCTGAATTTCTCTTTGCCCAGCACCTTTACATCTTACTTAAAAGGGCAGTGTAAAGAGAGGGGGAGGCATGGCAGCAGGGACCTTTTCCTGCCCTGCATGCCACAGCATTTGCTGTTTGGAATAGTGTATCACTTAGAAAACCTGGTGGTAGCACTTTATAGTGCTTCCTAAAAACTGCCATTACCCAGGCACATGTAGTCACTGCTGACTAACTATCAGGGTTGTGGCTTTCTTCGAAGTCACAGGCAGTTTTGCATGGATAACAACTGAATAAGAGCGGCTACCACTGTTTTTTGTATTACACTGCTATTACTCAGAATAAGTACTTCAGTCAAGTTCAGGACCCCATTATGTCGGAAAGTCTAAAAGCAGATTGTAAGAGGTAGTGCCTGGACCTGAAAACCTTATACTCTAAACTATAGGGAAGATTACTCCCTTTAGAGTTGGATAGTGGGGCTTAAAGAGGCTGTCATCCATGATATCACACAAGATGCCTGTGAAGAGCCTGGAAATAATACTCAGTTCTTCTGAGCCACAGTGCTTCAGTCTCAGAGCAGACTCCAGGCCCTTCACTTGACATCCCGTGGCACAGGGGTGCCCCACCTTTTGGCCAGAAGAGGCCACCCAGTCCCTTATGGGAGTTCTTGAGGATCAAATGCCAAAGTCCACTTTTCCCGCTTTCCACATGACTCAGTGTATGCCCTCCTTGTGATTGGGGATGTTCCTGGCAGATGCATTTCTCATTGCATGAGAGGGGAGAGTCAGAAGACCCTTTGGGGCAGAGTCCACCAGGGAATGGCTGGAGGCTATCAGAATAATTTATGCAGACCCCTCCTTGCCAATGTCCAAAGTCTCTGAGAGAAGGCAGCAGGGAATGCTCTGCAGGTCGAATAGACCTGCAGCCCAGATCTGTCATATGTTGGATATTTCTTTTCTAAGGGTAGTGTGTGCATTTTGCTTGTTGAATCTCACTCTAGGGACAAGAAGAAATTTGGGATTCACTGTAAATGCAGGATCAGGCTCAAGGCATGTGAACATCAGTTGACTGAGTATTTCTGTCTCACGAGGGCTTTGCTCCTTTTCTTTGACACCCTTGAGGAAGTTAATCTGGCTTTAGTCCAAAAATATGAGCAAGAGACTCTGGGCTAAACCATGGTAGCCACAGAACAGTGGTCAGGACACACTGGGTGCGAACAAGAATGATAAAGGCAAAAATGGAAAACAGCGACAAACTCTGGAGCTCTTGGGAAGGAAAGAATCCCTGATCCACCTGTCTGAGCAAGAGTTTCCTGTGCAGAATGTGAGGCAGGAATCAGTTGCAAGCTAAATCAGTCATGCTGACCTTCAAACTGTCCCCTGGCAGTTTCCAAAGTGGTGCCCCAGCTGAAGCTAATTTAATCACTAAAAAAATTGCAGAAATGGAATCTGTTGCATGGGCAATTGCATTCTCCAGAAGGGAAAAAACTGTCTCCTTGTTAGCCTCTTAGGGTGCTTTTGTGATTTGAAAGATGCAGTCCTCCAAACTCTAGGAATTTTTCAGGGTTTAGGCCATCCACTGAGCTGGATGTGAAACTGTGTGAGCAAGCTGCTCCCGCTGTGTTTTACTGATCTCTGGTGGTAAGCTAACTGAGCGTGCTACGTTTGTGTCTTGACAGAGGGAAGTGGCCCACCAGAAGTGGTGACAGTGAGCACAGCTGTAGCTGTGTCTGTGGATGGGAAGATGGGTATTGCTGCAGGTAGGACATTCTGGTTCTCTTTTTATATTGAATGAAATGGTAGCATCTTATACTGAGAGTGGGAGCTGAGAGCTGTTAGCTTGTCACTCAAGGGAAATGATGGTTGTGATGTTGAAAACCAGGCTAAGCAGTGTACATCAGAACAGGTACTGACCAGCTGATATGCTTTTGGAAGAGAAACTGGCTGTTTGAATGGAAGCTTTCCATCTTCAAGCCGATAATTTTGTGGATTGAAACTGACTTTGACCCTGGAGCATGAATAGGCTGAGAATTCTGTGCAGTTTTTGAACTGTTGGTGGAAGACGCTTGTTTTCAGAAGAACAGGGTGTTCCTGCATCTCCAGCGCTATGTCAATTGAACGCTAACTTTTGCTGGTGGAATGTGCTTGTTACTGGATTTCCAACTCATGCAAACAGATTTCCATAACTTTCTTTGTATCTGAGCTTTGAGCCCCTTTTGACAGACCCTCACTAGACTCTGTGTGTGCTTTCAGAATATTTGTAGAACATGTTATTTCCCACAGAACCCCAAAGCACTGTTGAAACTTTACCATTTTCTATAGCAATTGCTTCAGCCGTTGTGAAAATACAACAAGCTCATTGTGTAGGAGTATGGGTATGGGAGAAAATGTAGTTCAATATGAGTGGAATTTTTGTTATAGCTGGAAGCATCCACTAAAGGAAGAGGCTGCCAAAACAAGGAATGGAGTAATTATCACCAGAAATATGCAGAGATGCAGAGCTGCCCGTGAAAGAATGTTTAGTGTTAGCTATGTCCTGTATGATGGAAACAATGACCGTCTAGAACAGGTACCAAGCAATGACTTTGAATTTCCAGTGATGTGTGAATCTGCCATTTAATTTTTAACAGTGAAATCAGTTACAGACTCTCCGACACTGAGTAGCATTACAATAGATGTATGATTTCCAGAGAAAGATTGTGCCCTGTTTACCTCAGCAAGAGGTGATGTAAATGGTTATGGAGCTATTCAGTTCAGAGAAGGCTGTGTTGCAAATACCTTCAGATCAGGGAGTCATCCATTGCTTTTACTTAGGCTGGGTAGGATGCAAAGAATTATCACGACGTGAAAGAGCGTAAATGGTCCTCAATCTACTGAAGTCAGTAAAAACTATGGCAACTTAACTTCATGTGATGAACTGTTCCTTAGTTTCCAGACTTTCAATAAGTTCCAGGAGAGAGTGGTACTCTCTAAGTATCACTTGGGAATTGAGAGAGTACTTCTATCTTAAGAGAGCGATGACATGAAATAACAGTTTTCATTGCTAAGCCACCATTTCAGATCCAACCAAGGTCAGAAGATTATTGTCAAGTGAAGTCTCTTCAGAGACCCCCATGAAATAAGGGGATGGTTTCAATACAGTTTACGTTAAGTAGGTGCTTGAAGCGTAGACACTGCTACCGAAACTGATACTAGCTGACTCTATTATGAGTACACTGTCAGAGAATGAAATCATACTGAGACTGTACTAAGTCTCTCTGTGCGGCACTGGAGCATTTTTTCTGGGCATTTCTCAATTGCTTTTGTTCCTTAAAGATACCATGGTCCCTTGTCACTAGCGGGCATATTAGGTGACCTGACCACAAAAGATCATCACCTTTTGCTTATTTCCACCCATGGTACATGCAGCTGGGTGTTCTCCATTCCTGTTCCTTATGCACTAATGAAGACTAGTCATATTTCATTCAAAGCATGGGCTGCGCAACAGCACTGAGGGGATTAAATTCTCCCAAAATCTTTCAGGCAGATAAAGTCTGTCTCTGTCCCCTAGCTGTAGCCACCATTGACTTCAGTGGGAATGCAAGCGTTTGCTCGGGTGCATCCCAGTTGCTGGAATGGGTATATGTTTTCAACATGCTTTTGGGATTTCAGGGAGCAGAGAAGTACTATATCTAAATTACCATTTCCTTTGTTTCCAGTGGTGATCAAGATTCACCATCTGAATCTTTCTTAATACTGGTAGTCAAAGAAAAAAGCATCATGGTCACCCTCCCTATTGCAATACTGTTAAATCTTGAGGACAATAGGTTTGAAGGGAAGGACATAGGTCTCTCTTCATTTCCCCTCACACTAATATGACTATGGCTGAGACCTGATTCTAGGCAACTTCACCCCACAATGGAGGTTGCAGCACAAACGGCCCTGGGAGAGCTGCAGTACCATCATACCCTCACACTAGGGACAGAAGAGAGAGATAAAGGAAGAGGAGTGAATGCAGACACAGCAAGAGGCAGCTGGAGCACAATGGGGCACAGACTGTTAGTCTTATTCTGACAGCATCAGCCCTCAATGGGCTTGATATCATGTTCATTTAGAGTCAGGATACTACCAAAAATCCACTTGCTACCTAGCAGTGGTTCCCAGAATGCCAAAGATTTGGGTGGGCTTGTAGTTTCTGGATACATTCTGTCACAGTTATGTACAGGGGGGTTAACAGAAGGCTTTTTAAGTGCCCCTGTAAAAGTGTCATTTGGATGAACTGGCCTATCATACCGCCACTGATTGTTACTGACACTTGTTTGACTTGATGGTGCTTGGGGGAATTTGCAAGCACTCTGAAATGTTTGCTACATGTGCAGTGAAGAAATGAACTCTCAGATTTACAGCTTTGCCTTTGGGTAGGGGGCACCCCCGATGCCCCTTTGAGGAGGATGACAGTGACAAGGAGCGTTGGGCCCCTTTCGTTCTGGCAGATGAATGTCAGTCCCCAGCCAAGGCTGAGAAAGACAAACTCATGAAACCAGATGACCAGGAAGATGACGTAGGCATGGACTCTGTCGGAGAATGAGGGAGCAGTCAGCTGGGATTAGAGATCAGCGCAGCTGAAGGGCAGAGGGCACAGATGGCAGGCAGGTATGAAGGCCTCCTTCCTCCTGTTTAGATCTGGCTTGGCTCAGTGGTGCAACCCAGAACGGGGAAGAGACCAAAACTGTCCTCTCACCATTAGAGGGGCTGCTCCATGGGAGGGACAGGTGTGGGGCTGGCCAAATTCAGTAGGAAGAAAATGGCATGGAGCTAAAGCAGTTGTGTAGTCCCTTGGCAGGCTTGGGAGGCGTAAAGGAGAACAGCTTGCAGGACTGCTCTGAAATTGTGCTGTGTATGACACTGTATTGCAGTGGCCTTCTGTGGGTCAAAGCGTAGCGTCCTCTGTGCTATCCTCTTCCCTTTTCCTCCATCTCTCTCCCTCTTTGTGCCAAGCCCCTGTACCTGGGCTGTGAGGGAGATTTGCGCAGACCTTTTACCGTTTTCTAGGTAGATCTCTCAAAGGGCAAGATGGAGTCAAGGTAGAGCCCGTTTGTGCAAGCCGAGTTGGTGTGGTCTGCATCAGGGCTTTGCTGGGAAGCCGTACAGGCCCATCGACCACTGGCTTGGCTGTACCTGTCTCTTTGAATTAATAGTATCTACCTGCTGTATTGTGCTTTGCTGCTTCAAAGCACTGTGCAAACATTAAATAATGCCTGGATGATTAATTGTAATTAATTAGAAGGAAGTTATTCTCCTGGGATGTCAGTCCAGTACCTTTCACAAGTACTAACTTTATCGGAAATGAAAAATAAGGAATTGTGATGGCACTCTCCCCAAGCCAAGTCCTGCCCCAGATACCACTGTGTCATCCGTTCCCTCTACTGAGTCAGTAGCCTGGGGCTTTATGGTCCTCATGGGGGTCACTGCAGAAATCACATGCAGTTGCTGACAGAAGCTTTTAGTGATTTAAAGTCCCAGTGAAACTGCTGGAAGCTGCACAGGAGTTTAACTGTCTCTTTGGGCTGCATATGACGTCTCTTTTATTGCCTGACCTTCTCTGTATGAGTTATGTGGTAGTCAGCTGACTGCCAGTCAGAACAGGAACAGATACAGGTTTCTTTTTATTAGGATCTTTGCCACTTTTGCCATGCCTCAGGGATGGGAGACAGCTGATATCAGCAAACCATAGGGTATGCACAGGCCCGGCAACGTCCGGTAGAAAAAACAAGGTGTCCAAACAGGCCTTTGGGAGAAGCAGATTTATTTTATACAATACTTCTCTCCTTCGTTTATATTCACAGTTACTGTTAGTTCTTATTCACTGGGCGAAAGTGAAATTGTTATCTCGTGATAAACAGTATATACAGATGTATTTGGGAGAGTCCTCTTCAGAGAAGGCTTGTGTTTTAGAAAGGCAAGCTCAAAGAAGGGTGGGAGAAGGGACGTGTTGTCCATATTTTACAGAGAGGGATTTGGGACACTAAGTTATTAAGGCCAGTATTTTCAGAAGAGCTCTGTACTCACAGCAGGAAAAGATTTTCAGTGAAAGCTTATATATTTTTTTTCAAAAGTAGTTGAAATCACTCAGTCTGAAAAATAGATAATGGAGAATAATTTTGCCATTATACTGCTGCTTAGAATCCAGCCAGTATCACAAGCACAGTCTGACGGAAGCCGTTCAGTTGAAAAGCAATTACTGGCCAGCTTGACATCTCTCCATCCTCTTCCTTGGTCTCCAGTTTTGGCTGTCTGCTGTCTGTTACCAACAAGCAGGGAGAGGAGATGCAGATGGCTCTTTCAGCAGTTCTGTTGCTGTGGCATTTTTTTCAAGCTAATCTACACACAGTTCTGTATTCCTACAGTTCTGTTATTTGGGTTCATTTCAACCGCCTCTCTTTTCCTCCCTAGAAAGTGGCAGTTGTACCTGTAGAAGCTGCTAAAAAGCATGGTAGATGCATGAAAAATGCATGCTACAGTAGCAGAAGCACCTTTTGCACAGGAAGAACTGCATCTAAGCTGGGGAATTAAAATGATTTCACTAGAATCATTAGAAACCAGCATAATATTAGCAATACAAAAACTGTGAGCAACTGATATCTTCAAATGCGTCCTGCAGTGTTTGAGAGGAATGCTGCCTCTCTTTTAATGCTGGAAGTTGTGCCAAAAATGTCCCAATGTGTGGACTGCTGTGAACTCCTGGTGCATTATTTGGATGCCTTATTTATAAAGTGAGATC